AAAACCGATTAATTTAATCGATCCAAAAAATTGATTATAATCAAAATCGAATAAATCAAACCGAATTTATCATTTTTTATTGATTTGATCAATTAAATTGATTTAAACCAAATTTTGCTCACTGTCATTTCATTTAATTTTGTTTTATTTATTTATTTGGTCAAATTAAAAAGAGAAAATTTCATTGATATAAGAAGAATCTCCAAAAATGCAAAGATATAAGTCAATAAAACATAACCAAATACAAACGAATCTTGAAATTATAATTTAATTAATTTATAAAATAAAAAATATTCAATAAGTTTTAATATTTATACATATTTTTTTATTCTCAGAAGCTTTTACACAGCTTTATGTAAAAAAAAAACATACAAACGAATCTGACATGTTTGGTTTGATTGCTATTTTTACCAAGCAATTGTTATGGTAGAATTAAAAAAAAAAAAAAAAGGCATAGAGTGCAATTAGAGTGTGTTTCACGTGTTGAACTTGGAATCTCAAAACAAATCTTTTTACAAAACGACAGCTAAATCAAGAGAGTAAAGTGGATTTTTTGGCAAAAAAAAAGTAGCTTTTTTTTTTCAAATATAATAAACATTATAATTAATGTGGTCTAGACTTATTTTGATAAGCTGGAAACCATATACTTAGTTGATTATCAATTAGTTATTCCCCTCAATCATGTTACTTTATCAATTCCAATAAATTTGTGGTATTTTGATTTTTTGTTAATTTTTATTTTATATTTATTATTGATTAAAAATGTAAAAAAAATTCAAAACTTTGAAAATGAAATGATTTTTAGATAAAATAGTTAGTAAGTTTTAATTTTTTTTTAAATAATAAGAGTAAAAATTTGAAAATTTAAATGGGGAATAGAGGGAGCAACATTATTGGGTATATCATGGATAGAAATTCCACAATATTATGAAACAATTATCTACTATCAAAGTTTTTTATGGGTTTTGCTAACAAATGTTATAAGATACTCTTTAAGGTTAATTAAAAATTATTTATAATAAATATAAAAATACTATTTATAGTACTATTATTGTATTAAATGTGAATTTTAATAATTACAAATAAATAACTTAATATAAGATTTTTAAAAATACAAATTTTTAACAATACTTTTTTTAAAAATTTATTATTCACTTGCTAATTAATAATTAACTCAGGATTAAACTTTCTAATTCCAAATATTTAATAACTGGGTGTTGATCGATATTGAATTATTAATGCTTTAAAATCTGTTCTGTCCACATCACAAATTTATAATGTACCCCACATTAGTAGTGGAAATTTTTTATTCACAAAGTTGTGGCAAGCTTTGGAAATGGTGGATAATTTGAAATCCCAATAGCATTGACCAAATTTGGTTGAAATTCCGCAATCAACAACTGGTAAAGCCAGTGCTTTTTTGTTTCTTTAGAATGTTAGGTGCATATCATAATGGTTTAATAAATAAACAGCACTTCAATTATTGCTTGAAATAAGCTAGATAACTTGCATATGATTATGGATAAAATATATAGAATAATAGTTATCCTGTTATATTTGAAAAAAAATGATAGAATTGTTAAAAAAATTAATTATTTTTTTAGTATAAAATGATTAAATTCTTTCAAAGTAGAGATAATTATTTTAATCTATATGATTGAATTTATCCATTTTATTATATCATTAAAAATTATATTAATAATTTAAATTATGTAAATTTTGAAGAATGATAATTTTAACTAATAAAATTTTATTCTATTTTAATTTTTACACATATCAAATATAAGATAAAATGATATTATTTAATTTAATTATATTCGTAATATTATTTTATCATATATTATCATAATTTTGTGTATCAAACACATCTTAAAAACGATAAAAATCCAGTATTAAGTGATTAAATGAATAATTTATTCAAAGTAATTTTGTTAGGCAGCATTATCATGTAGTTAAGATTGGTTGTACTATTTTTAACAGAAAATTTCAAGCAATTGCAATATTATTATTATTTCTAGATAATATGATTAAGGGTATTTTCAAATTTACTTTGAACAATTTTTATTTTTGACGATCTTCAAAGCATAATATCTTATATCGATCTACTCGTACATTTAAAATTTTTAAATAATTGATTATAATCGAATCGATTAAAATTGATTAGGTTTAGTCAAATAATCAAATTTTTTTTATCATTTTTTCTTTTTATAAACAATTATTTAGTTATAAATTCAATTAAATAAAACTCAAATTCAAATATCATTCAAACTAAATCACGAAAGAATTTAATAATTTCAATAACATTTTACCAAAAAAAAAGATAAACAAAAATATTTATCTTAACTTTTTTACCCTTATGTATTAAAAAATCAATTAATTCGATTAATTTTATTATCAATTTTAAGAATCGAAAATCAACCAATTTAATCAATTTAACCTATTCAAAAAATCAATTATAATAAAATTTGAATCAATCAAACTGAATTAATAATTTTTCAATAGTTTTAATTGATTAAATTGGTTTGAATTGATTTTTACTCACCTATATCATTTTATTTTATTTTATTTATTTATTTATTTGATCAAATTAAGAAGAGAAAATTTCATTGCTGTAAGAAGAATCTCCAAAAATACAAAGATACAAGTCAATAAAAAATAACAAAATACAAACGAATCTTGAAATTATAATTTAACTTAATTAATTTATATAATAAAAAATATTCAATAAGTTTTACTGTTTATATATATATATTTTTTCTCAAAACTATTACACAATTTTATGTAAAAAAAAGTACAAACGACCTCACAAGTTTGGTTTGATTGCTATCTTTACCAAGCAAATGTAATGGAAGAATTAAAAAAACAAAGAAAAAAAAACGGCATAGAGTGCAATTAGAGTGTGTTTCACGTGTTGAAATGGGAATTTCAAAACAAATCTTTGGATAAAACGACAGCTAAATCAAGAGAGTAAAGTGGATTTTTTGGCAAAAAAAGTGGCTTTTTTTTTTTTTTCAAATACAATAAACATTATAATTAAGGTGGTCTAGACTTATTTTAATAAACTAGAAACCATATACTTAGTTGATTATCGATCAATTCCAATAAATTTGTCGTATTTTATCAATCATGTTATTTTATCAATTCCAATAAATTTGTCATATTTTGATTTTTTATTAATTTTTATTTTATATTTATTATTTATAAAAATGTAAAAGACTTTAAAACTTTGAAAATGAAATGACTTTTAGATAAAATACTTAGTAAAATTTAATTTTTTTAAATAATAAAAGTAAAATTTTGAAAAAAAAATTATCTTAGTAAAGTTAAAATTGAAAATTTAAATGGGGAATAGAGAGAGTAATATTGTTGGGTATATCATGGATAGAAATTCCACAATATTATGAAACAGTTATCTCCTATCAAAGTTTTTTTATGGGTTTTGCTATAAGATGTTATAAGATACTCTTTAAGGTTAATTAAAATTTATTTATAATAAATATAAAAATACTATTTATATTTCTACTATTGTATTAAACGTGAATTTTAATACTTAAAAGTAAATTACTTAATATAATAATTTTAAAAATACAAATTTTTAACAAAACTTTTTTAAAAAATTTATTATTCACTTGCTAGTTAATAATTAACTCAGGATTAATCTTTCTAGTTCCAAATACTCATTCTTATCCAAAATGATTGTCATGTATTAATTTTTGTGGAGCTTAAAAAAAAAAGTTTTGATTTTAATGTATTTAATATTAAATTTTAATTTTTTTTATAAAAATAAAATTTTATAATTTTTAAAGTCAAAAAATAAAAAATTACAAAAAATAATTTTAAAATATAAAAAAAGAGTTTTAGATATTAAAAAAAAATAATTTTAGAATATCTAAAAAAAATGAATAAAAAAATTAGGTCAAAGGGAATATATAATAACTGAGTGTTGATCGATGTTGAGTTATTGATGCTTTCAAATCTGTGCATCACATATTTATGACGTACCCCACGTTAGTGGTCGCAATTTTTGATTTACAAAGTTGTGGCCAGCTTTGGAAATGGCAGATAATTTGAAATACCAAAAGCATTAACCAACTTTGGTTTATTGTCGGCAGTCAACAACTGGTAAAACTAGTGCTTTTTAATTTCTTTAGAATGTTAGGTGCATATCATAATTGTTTAAAATAAACAGTACTTCAATTATTGCTTAATAAAAGTATAATAAAACTTGCATAAAATTATGGATAAAATATATAAGATAATAGTCATCATATATTATATTTAATTTATATTAAAAAATAATATAATTATTAAAAAATTAATCATTTTATTAGTATAAAATTATTCAATTATCTCAAAAAAAAAATTACTTTTAATATATACGATTGGACTTATATTTTTTATTATATTTTTAAAAATTATATTGATAATTTAAATTATTTAAATTAAAAAAAAGATAATTTTAATTAATTTTAATCTTTGTATATATAGAATATAAGATAAAATAATAATATAATAATATTTTATTTTATTTTATTCATAATATTATCTTATTATATTCTATTATAATTTTATGTATTAAACACATTTTAAAGTAATAAAAATCCAATATTAAGTGATTAAATGAATAAGTTATTCAAAATAATTTTGTTAGGTGGCATTATCATGTATAGTTAAGCTTGGTTGTGTTAATTTTAACAGAAAATTTCAAGCAATTGCAAAATTATTATTATTTCTAGATAATATGATTAAGCATATCGATCTGAGCGTACGATTAAAATTTTATTTTTGAACCGCCATTCACAATGTTTGAAATCTGATAAAGAACATTCCTCCGTTACCGATTCGACAAACCCTTGTCGGTTGCAAATTTTTTTCTGCCAAAGTTACAAAATCATTTTAGTAATAAAGACAAAATCTTAAATATCATATGTATAGTTTTAACCCTAATTAATTATTAGCGTTTTCCATTTGATGATTTTGATCAATGATAAATCCTTATAAATATGTGGATGCATGGCAATGGTTATTCGATCAGGCATAAACTAGTTTCTCAAAGGTAAGGCTTCCCTTCCCTGTCCGAAAGCTATGATACTTGAGCTTAAGGATTCTGCCATTCTCTTCATTGTCATACCCCTTGCCCTAATATTCCTCTTGCGAAACCGATCACGGCTTCGCCTTCCTCCAAGCCCACCAGGCTTGCCAATCATTGGCCACCTTCATTTGATCGTCGGTACTTTGCCTCACCAGACGTTCCACAACCTATCGTCTCGCTATGGCCCCTTGATTTATCTCAGGCTCGGTTCTGTCCCAGCTATTGTGGCCTCTAATCCTGAACTTGCAAAAGAATTCCTTATGACCAATGAGCTCTCATTCTCTACCCGCAAGCGTAGCATAGCTGTCGATCAACTTACCTATAAGGCTTCCTATGCATTTGCACATTATGGACCTTACTCAAAATTCATCAAAAGGCTAAGCTCTTCAGAGCTTGTAGGCAGCCGAATGATCAATCGGTTTCTTCCTGTTCGAACCAAAGAATTGCGGTATTTCCTCCAACTCCTATTGAGCAAATCCAAAGTTGGTCAAAGTGTTAATGTCTCCCAGGAGTTGTTGAAGCTGACGAACAATACAATCTCTCAAATGATGCTGAGTATAAGGTGTTCAGGGGCTGATAGCCAGGCTGACGAGGCTAAAAATTTGGTGCGTGAAGTGACAGAGCTTTTCGGAGAATTTAATTCCTCAGACTTCATTTGGTTTTGCAAGAACTTAGATTTGCAGAGATTTAGAAAGAAAATTGACCATGTTCATAGAAGGTATGATGGGTTGCTGGAGAAGATTATATCAGATAGGGAATTAAAAAGAAAGAAAAGGATGGAGGAAAAAACAAATGATCAAGGTGATGATGAAGATGATATGAGGGATTTTCTTGACATTATGCTTGATGTTATGGAGGATGAGAATTCCGAGATAAGATTAACAAGAGATAACATTAAGGCCTTGGTTCTGGTAAGTGGCTGATTTCAGGTTTGCACCCACCCCCCCCCCCCCCAAAAAAAAAAAAAAAAAAAAAACTTCAATTCAATGTCTCTTGCTGAACTGCATGCATTGATATATTCTTTGCCCAATTCATGGTGACCAACCAACATCAGATCTAAATGTTAATGCATGCGTCCATAACTAAATATGTACGTAGACCTTGTTCAATTGTATGGAAAAATAATCATAGTTTTCCTTAAAAAGAATAAAAACTAGAACTAAAAGCGGGAATGGTTTCATTTATATTAACCGATCGAAAACTATTTCTTTCTGAAAAATTGTTTTTCTTTTCTTCGGCAAACATACATAGGATTTCTTAACGGCAGCAACTGATACAACAGCTGGAGGAATTGAATGGGCGTTAGCAGAGCTGATGAACCATCCGAAAGTGCTTGAGAAAGCAAGGCAGGAGATTGACAAAGTAGTGGGAACTAATAGAATCGTACAAGAATCTGACACTGCAAATCTTCCCTACATCCAAGCTATTATAAAGGAAACACTTCGGCTTCACCCACCAATCCCCGTTGTCGCAAGAAAATCAGTAGAAGCTTGTAAAATTAATGGATATGATATCCCTGCAAATGCAATAGTATTTGTAAACGTATGGTCGATTGGAAGACACTCGGGGTACTGGAAAGATCCTCTGGAATTTCGTCCTGAGCGATTCTTGTCAAGCAATGGAACTGAAGGAGCAAGTCATATAGACGTTAAAGGTCAGCATTTTCAGCTATTGCCATTTGGTTCAGGGAGGAGGGGCTGCCTTGGTATCTCTTTAGCCATGCAAGAATTGCCTACGGCAGTGGCGGCTACCATTCAATACTTTGATTTCAAGGTGGTTACCCCAGACGGGGTGAAATCTACCGCCGAAAATGTTGTCGATATGACTGAAAGAAATGGATTAACATCCCCAAGAGCTCATGATCTTGTCTGCATTCCGGTGCCACGACTGAAAAATCTGCTTAATGTCCTCGAACCTGTTGGGGAAATAATCTGAACAATAGTACTAATAACTAATAAGTTTGGAGTCTTCCAAACATGTTTGTAAGATTGTTGTTACTATTTCGGTAATACATGGTACTAAGATGTTGAATAAGTGAAGTTATTTTGGTATGTGTTAATGTCTAATTAGTGTAATATGTAAGAATGTTGTTTATTTGCCTATTATTCCAAAAGCAGTAAACTATTTTTCCCTTTTCCTTTTTCAATTAGGCCTTTGAAATTCTTAATTTATTTATCTATTTTATTAAATTATTATAATCAATTAATTTCACTTTATCAACAAATTATAACGGGTAAAACATTGCATTTTGAGAAGCAAAGTTAATGTTTGATTATAGTAATGTGCAAATTTAATTTTTAATTTTAATTTTAATTTAATTATTTTAAATAAAAAACTACACTTAAAAAAAACTTTATTTAACTCTTTTTTCCAAAAAAGCACAAAAAACCGACGCCAAAAAGGACAACCCTTTTATGGCAACTGTGAAAGAAGTACATGACCCGGACGAGGCTTTTTCTCTTTAGTCTTTTCTTACCAAATGGGACATAAACGTGATTGTCCTTCATTTTCTTCTCTTATTTACAAGCTTGCAGAGTCTCGAAATTTCGAAGATACTGAAACTCTTCTTGGCTATTTATAGAACTTAATATTCATTGCAAAGAAACCGTTTTTGTTTCTTTGTTCTAAAAGCTATCTAACTTTTCCATAAAATGCCTTCTTTTAATTGCGTTCGCACGGTTCTATCTATAAATTTGTTTCTTATTGCTCTTGTCGAATAAGTTTGTTGGAACACCTTTAAAATAATAAATCACATGAATGAAATGTGATAGTAAAAGATTATATTTTTTAAAATCAAATAATTATTTAATAAGAATTATGTTTTATTAAGAATTATGTTTATATATATATTATTTTATGAACAAATAATTTTTTGGTTGCAAAAGAAAACTATTGTCCTTATAAAGAGGAAGAAAGATGACGGGATAAAATTTACGTCTTATATGATTTTTAATTGATCTTTTAATTAAGAAAAAAAGTCAAATAAATATATTTGTATAAAAAAATCTATTTGATTATAAATATATCTTTTTAATTTTTGGAAGATACAAGACTGAAAATATATTTTGTCCACCAAAAAAAAAAAAAAAACTTCACAAATTTTATATAATCAAATTAAATATTTTGTTTTTATACCGGTAAATATTTCATAATTGATTTTGTCAATACAAAACAGAATTAATCACCGAGTTTTATTGTAATTTCAAAATATATCGTTAGTTCATATCAATTAATCTGAGGGGAAAGTGATATCTTGAAGTTTTTCGTCAATTTCTTATTTTTTTTAACCCAAGTTCTTACTAGGTTTTTATGCAAAATAGGCCAATTCATCAAAAGAAATGGGTTTTCATCCGAATTCGATAACATTCAACGTAATGATCAAAGGGTTGCTAGAACGGGCACAGTTTGATGAAGCTTGCAATTTGTTTGATGAAATGCTAGAAAGAAACGTAAGCCTAGTGTTGATACTTACAATAGTTTTATAAGGTTTTTGTGTAAAAAATGTGACGGGGGAAAAAGCTAAAAATTTAGTTGAAGTTATGGTTAAGAAGGGAAACTAGGGACGTATCCCGATGCTGTGACTTACGCTTTGTTGATGGAAGGGTCTGTGTTTTTTAGGTGAATATAAGGAAGCTAAAAAGATGATGTTTGATGTGGAATATAAAGGTTGTAAAACAGAGGTTATTAACTTTGTGTTTTGATGAGTTATCTGGGAAAGAGAGGGGAGATTGACGAAGCTAAAATCATTGCTTAGTGAAATGAAGAAAAGGCGGTTTAAGCCAGATGTTCTGATTTATAATTTATTGGTGAATTATCTTTGCAAGGAAGGTAGAGTCGGAGAGGCCTACAATGTTTTGATTGAAATGTAGGTTAAAGGTTGTGAGCCCAATGCAGCTACATATAGGATGATGGTTGATGGATTTTGAAAGAGCTTTGAAGGTTTTGAACGTGATGTCAACAAGTAGATATTGTCCGCGGTTGGCAACATTTTGTCAGTTGGTTGCAGGGCTATTGAAGTGTGTGAAGATTGATGGTGCTTGCTTTGTTTTGGAGATAAAGAGAAAGATAAGCTTTGATTTGGAGGGTTGGGGAGCTTTGGTTAGGGATGCTTGCAGTGGGTTTGATAATAGTGAACTTCTAACTCAACTTATCTTGGTCAATAGTGATTAGTTAACTAGTAAACATGCTAGATTTCCCCTACTTTTGTTGTTGCATTAGGATTTAACTTGTCATCACCTTGAAATTTGGATGGTCTGATTTCTGGTATTAAGAAGTGTGATGATTGAGTTCTAATACTTCCAAATGCATAACAATTAAGAGTAAATCTTTTATCTTTCCTCTTTATTCATGTTTCTTCTGTAATTTACCTTGCAATTAAAATATAATTAGCAGATGTGAATGACTTCATCAAGGCTAGCCCGATCAATACTGAGTCAGTAGTCATTATTATGGTATTTTTAGTTGTGTTCGAGTTAAGAGGCAGTGGATTTGGTAGAAAATATTGGACAGAAGGATATGGTATTGCTTATGCATCCACCATATTTAGATCTACATCTTAAAAGAGGGATAATATCCTTACCTTCTAACTAAAACACTATTGGGATGAAAACGCAAGCACCTACTCCATTGATCAACTCCACAACACTCTGCCTTCAATTTAGCTTCTATATATGTTTATCTGCATTACTACCCCTCTTAAGTCATCATATCTGGCCGAAGAAATCTCAAATCACCAAGCACACAGCATTTCATATTAAGCCCCAAATTCATGGCAACTTTCACACCCCTGCTCTCCATCACACTTCTAACTCTCACAATCACCTTTTCAGCTGGTGCTCGAGCTCTTGACGAGGACAAACCTGTTCCCACCACTGTTCCCAATGTACATGATTCAGTGACACCATCCTTTGCTGGTGCAGCACCTGTTGTTGCTGCCTCAGCTACAGCCACTGGGGCAACAGTGGCCTCCGCAGACCCCCACCATCCTCTTACTTTCTTCATGCATGACATACTTGGCGGATCAAACCCCTCAGCAAGAGCTGTTACTGGGATTGTCTCCAATCCAGCAGCCAGTGGTCAGGTGCCCTTTGCCAAGCCTAATGGTGCAAACCTCCCAGTTAACAATGGTGTTTCTGTCAACAGCAATAATAATGGAATCGTTAATAACAATAACGTCCCCTTTCTTACTGGCCTTGGCGGTAAGGCAGCCAATGCAGCTCAAAACAATGGAAACAACCCAATAAATAATGGCTCTGGGGGAGTTGCAATCCTGAATGGAGGTCAACTCCCTGCAGGAAGCACAATTCAAAAGTTCATGTTTGGCACATTGACTGTTATAGACGATGAGCTAACTGAAGGGCATGAGCTTGGTTCAGGTTTGATTGGCAAGGCACAGGGGTTTTATGTGGCTAGTTCTATTGATGGGAACAGCCAGACCATGGCTTTCACAGCCATGTTTGAGAGCGGTGGCTATGCCGATAGCATCAGCTTCTTTGGTGTACATAGGACAGCTGTTTCCGAGTCCCACCTCGCAATCATGGGCGGCACTGGCAAGTACTTGAATGCTAAGGGCTATGCCATTGTCAAGACATTTCCAGCTACCAACCAGAATGAAACTGATGGATTGGAGACTCTGCTGCAGTTCACTGTTTATCTTGCTTACTAACATGTTTTCGTTTGGAGGCAACTAGTTTGCTAAAATATATGTGCAAGTTATATGAATAATGAAGGATCTTTGTGATTGAAATAAAGGAATCTTGCTTAAAAATCTGGTTGGTATATACAAACTTTCAAGTGAGTAAAGATTTTCTTTCATGACTATCTCCTTAAAAATAACATAATAAAGCAAACCATTAAACTTCCTTGAACATGGCCTTGATAATGTGTTAGGGGCATATAATGATCAAAAGGGCATAGTGGTCTCTTTTCTTCCTTCAGTCTTTAGCAGACAACTAGGGGTATCTTGATCATTTGTGTTGACTTGACATGTCAAGTTGGTCCGACATCTCCAGTGCCACCTCAGTTCAGCTCTATCATAATTATCCCCTTTTTGTCCTCTTTAGCTTACCTATAAATATGGAAACTCAAGCACCATGAAGCCAGGTTCATCTAACTCATACCGTTCGCTCCTTCCTACTTTTTCACTTTCTTTCTGACTTGATTCTTATTGACTTGCACGTCAGAATGCAATCGCAGGAACACCCCATGCCTTTGTCTTTAACCAGTCTTCCCTTCTGCATTTATAAGAATACCCTTAGGTCAGAGCTCAGCACTAATATTTGGCGGCCAAGTAAGGGGCGAGCATTTTCATAATAATCAAGCACAAAGCAATGCCACCCAGAAAAAGAACCCAAAGGGAAGGAGAGACAACAGCTCTAGTTGGAACGAAAACTCACCAAAGCCAACATTCTGTCCACCCAACTCAATCACGGGTGAGGCCAACCATGGAGCAATTTCAAGCCCTACCCGAACAAACACAAGCTTTCAAACAAATGCTTCAAACTATAGCCCCACCACAAGTCTTTAAAGTGCCAGATTTAGTCACACCGGATTAAGAAGTTGTTGTTGGATAGTCGAGCTACGAATACGTGAAAGGCTTTTCGACCTCCAAAGAAAAAGAACACACTAATCTAACTCATTCCCGCCCTAGCCACAATTCTACACATGCCACAACCCAAAAGTTCAAACAAACAAACTATGAACCCTAACTGAACAGAGATTTGAAAACTTCGATACAGGTTATAGAGAAAGAAGTGAAAATGAAATCAATAGCACTTGAGGATGAGCTCAAAGTTTTGGAGACCTTACCCTTTATAAAAGAGATCGATAGAGCTATGCCTTTCAAGGGATTCAAAATGCCAACTTTTGAGACATATGACGGTATTTTTGACCCCTTTAATCATTTGAAACTTTATAGAACTAACATGATGATACAGGGGGCAAACGAGACTCTAATGTGCAAGGGTCTAACCATTACTTTAAAAGACGCAGCTCGATCTTGGTATAATTGCCTAAAGTCAAGATCGATCATTATTTTCAAGGAGCTCAGCCACTCATTCCTATCTCGATTTGTGAGTAGCCGAAAAGCAAAGAAAACAACCTAAGCCCGATGTCAATTCATCAAGGGCTAAATGAAACTTTAAAGAGCTATGTCACACCTTTTAATGCGAAAACTTTACAGGTTGAAAGCCCAAAGCAAACGGCTACTGTTGTCGTATTAACTAGTGGACTCAATAATAAGGAGTACCACTTGAAGTTGACATTGTTGCTAGAGCTACCTAAAACTCTGGCCGACATCCTACTAATATTAGAGAAATATATCAACACTAAAATTATAATGAAAATAAACCGAAATGAGAGAGGCTTATCCCTTATTCTTAACGGTTAAGGTAAGAAAGGCTCATTCTGCCTCTTTAATTATAAAAAAAAAATAAAGAATTTTACGATTCTCCCCAAGAAGAAGACAATACAAGGCTAGAAGCCCCAGCAGAGAAAAAAACTACATGACACTAAATACCTCTCGTGAGAGGATTTTGATGCAAATTAAAAGAAATTTCGATATCAAATGGCCTAAGCCACTAAGACAAAATACAAGGCGAGAGCCAACAAAAAAATGTGCCTTAAACCGGGACATCGACCATAATACAGAAGATTGTATCAACCTGAAAAATGAAATTAAGGCTCTGATAAGGCGAGGTCAGTTGAATCAAAAAGAGGGTTAAGCTAACAATAGCAAGCCAATCGCCATGGTGATTAATGTGATCACAGAAGGTAGCTCCACCTCGACAAAAAAAAAGTTCAATCTGGGATTGGTAATGGCAATAAATACCTCGACTAAGAAAGAAAAAGATTGAAAAGACAAGCCAATCTCATTCAACTTGAAAGATTTGGTGGGGATTCAACACCCACATAATAATGCCATAGTGATCACAACCTTGGTCTATAACTATGTGGTCAAAAAAATCTTATTTGATAATAGGAATTCGATCGATGTTATGTACTATGGCTATTTTAAGAAAATAGGGATTGGTGAACATTAGTTGAAGTCAATCACCACAACATTAGTAAGTTTTAGAAATGAATAGGTGCTAATAAGAGGAACCATCAAGCTTTTGATCTCTCTAAGAATAAAGTCGAAGATGATCATCTCAATTGTGGAGTTTATGGTAGTAGATATCCCATCTGCCTATAACATGATATTAAATCGACCTAGTCAGTCTGTTATATAGCTCAAAGGCTCAGTTCCCCACTTAAAAGTGAAAATTTCAATTCTTGTACGGGTTGAAAAAGTTCGAAAAGACCAGTTCATAGTACAACAATGTTATGTTACAATGATGAAATATAGGATTAGGAAGTAGACAGACAGCTCAACCAATTTCGAGGTGGAAGACAAAGAGAAACCGATAAAAAAAGTTGACAATGAGCAAAAAACTGACAATGAGAGCACAAAACGTAAGACCAATAAAAGAGAAGTGCGTTTTTAAGTCGTTTTGAGCTCTTAAGCTCTATAAAAGTTTAATTTTGTTTAATTTTTAAAATTTTTTTTAGATAATAGTGGAAATGATCGATCTCTTAGACCTACGCAAAAAATTAATGTTACGTGAACCAAGCTAACACGTCAGCTAAAATATAACATTAAATGAAGAATACACTTCACTTCTACTAATATGTTCAGAAAGTTATTTAATATACTAATCATCATGTTAAGACCTATTTTCATAGGAAATGATCCTAACCTAATAGAACAAAAAGAGATAATCAATCAAAGATCAAACTCGAATGAAAACTAACCTGAGTTGACTGAAAACTTTATGACAATTTCATTCTAGAATAATACTCTTAAAAAATACAAGCAGATTAAAGTCAAGCTACAACATAAAGACCAATTGATTCAACTTATAAAAGATAATATTGACCTATTTGCCTAGATATCGTTCGATATGCTTGGGATTGATATCGAATTAATGTTACACAGACTATATACTAATCCCGAAGTGAAACCAATTCGATAAAAGAAAAGAACTTTTATCCATGAAAGACAACAGGCCATTGAGAAAAAGGTTGACAAATTGTTACAAGCTAACTTTATCAAAGAGGTCTACTACTCTAAATGGAAACCAATGTGGTCATAGTTAAAAAGCATGACGAAAAATAGAGAATGTTCGTAGACTTTACTAACCTAAATAAAGCCTATCCAAAAGATAACTTTTCTCTTCCTAGCATAAATCAGCTGGTAGATGATAGTGCCAAGCATAGCTTTTTAAGCTTTATGGATGCTTATTTTAACTACAATCAAATCAAAATATTAAAAGAAGATAAGATAAGATAGCTTTTATTACTAAGAAAGGCCTTTATTGTTACAAGATCATACCTTTCAGACTAAAAAATGAATGAGTGACCTACCAAACGCTAGTCAACAAAGTATTCAAAAAACAAATCGACTACAATATGGAGGTATATGTACACGACATGATAGTCAAGAGTAAAAGTTTGATCGAGTATCTGGAAGACCTTAAAAAAACCTTCAATACTTTGAGAAAGTATAATATGAGGCTTAACTTGATCAAATATGCTTTTAAGGTTACTTCAGGCAAGTTTCTCGACTATATAATCAACCAAAGAGAGATAGAGGTGAACCTCGAAAAGGTTTAGACAATTCTAAAAATGAAAGCATCGATCTCCATAAAAAATGTGCAAAGGTTAACAGGTAAAATAGTCATGCTCAGCTGATTCATGTCCAGATCGGTAGAACGATGTCTACCGTTCTTTAAGATTCTCATATATGTCTCTGATTTCAGGTGGACTCAACAATGTCAAAAAGTTTTTGATAAACTCAAAGAGTTATTATCCTCCTCGTTTATCTTATTTAAACTGAGGACTAATGAAACATTGCACTTGTACTTAGCCAACATAGATCAAGCTGTCAGCTCGATCTTAGTTCAAGAAAAGAAGGAAAATAATGATAGATCTATTTTGTAAGCAAAGTAATAATAGAGCCTGAAGTTAACTACAATAGTATAAAGAAATTAGCATATGCCATGGTCACCTTAACCAAAAAACTCAGGCCGTACTTCCAAGTTTATACGATCTACATCTTGACCAATCAGCCATTGAAACAAGTCTTACAGAAGCCTAAAATGTCAAGAAAGCTAATCAAATAGGTAGTAGAGCTTATCGAATTTGATCTACACCTTTTGCCTAGATCGACATTAAAATCAAAAGTGTTAGCCGACTTCATAGTAGAACGCACCTCGATGTAACTAGAGGGATAGAGAAAAAAGAAAAAAACTCTAGATAAAGATGATTAGAAGCTATTTGTTAATGGATCTACTATAAGCTATGGTAGAAGAGTCGGTTTCATTCTAATCAGTTCGAAAAGGCTATAGTACCCATATACCTTGATATTTAAGTTCAAGGTATCTAGCAATGAAGCAAAATATGATGCCCTGATAACTGACCTAAAGTTGGATACTAAGCTAAAAGTTCAACACATAACCGCTTATAATAACTCTCAACTAGTGGTCAGTTAGGTAAATGAGAAGTTCGGAGCTCAAAAAGATAAAATTTGAAAGTACCTCAACAAAGCACTTGCATTATAGCTAGCTTCAAGAAAGCTGAGGTGAAAAAGATATCGAGGTCAAAAAACTCAATAGCAGACTCTTTATCCAAGTTGGCTTCAAAAGCAGTAATGGGAAGCCCGGACCAAGTTCTAGTAAAAAAATAATGCATAAAAGCACCGAAGACAAGCTCGTGGGATAGGTCACAGAAAAAAATAGATGACGCCAATCAAAGCATACTTAACCACGAGAGTGCTACATGATAAAAGAGTCCGAGCAAAAGCA